GCAGTATAAAGGGCAGTTCATTTGATCAGGTCTTCAGATATTGTGTTTATTACATACGAATTTGACCACACAGCAAAAACAGCACTGGGAAAATAGAAATGATGGTGCAATGTCCTTTTAGCACAGTCTATTCTGGTTCTTTCATTGCTCTTGTCTGCACAGCAACTGATGATGTCCCAGGTCTGGCCATCTCATCAGGGGAGCACGGCAGGAGACAGTGTGGATGACAGCTTGTCCCCCTGCTTTGAGTTTCTGAGTCCCATGGCAGTGAACCTACTTCCAGCTGGGGTGTCCAGAAGCCACCTTCAGCATTCATCCCAAGCCAGGCTGGAGCCCATCTTTCAGGAACCAAAACCACCCACTTCTCTGTGGTGCACAGGAGGGTCCTGCTCTGCTTTGCCAACCTGGCTAGCCTTAGCTTGTCTCCAAGCATGTAGAAAGTCATAATTCCTTGAACTTCATTGTGATCAAAGTTACAGACATATCTGCAAGCTGCTGAATTTAGGTAGGGGCATCTTCTGTTTTTCAAGGGCTGTTTATCTCTGGCAATAGAAAAGCAAAGACAGATCCATATCTAGAAAGCCTATTGTTCTCATGTGTTGAGGGAAAGGAAGGAGAGCAATGCAGCAGGTCTAACTGTATACAGCAGGCACTATTGTTAGAAGCAAATCAGTCTTAAAGGAATTAGAGGGTACCAAAGAAATCCATCAAAAGAGACTTTGTTCATAAACTAGCCTAAGGGATTGAATGGAGAGGTAAACACCCTTTGTATATTTCTAAAGACTGCTTTTAAAAAACAGTGGAAAGGTTGTTTGAAATCAATTTCACTTTTCTATCATTGCTGTTTTGGGGTTGCTGTTTTTCCCAGGTCCTTTGCTATTCACAGCAGCTTGTGTCTCTTGTTGCCATTCTCTTCCTCCTGTTCCCCTGCAAGAGCTTCAGAGCAATGGGGCTGCAGCAAATTCTCCAAATTTTGTGGATTTTGTAAAGGTCAAGAAAAAGACAAGTCCTTCATTAGAATTCTTCCTAACACACATTATAGCATAAGATAAATGGTATTTGCACAGTAAAGAGTCACTGAAAGATAATGTTTATGCTTTCCCTCTTCCTCCAAGGAACATGTATTTGTTTATATAGTCTTTGGGTTGTGTTCACTTCGTATTAGCATTTCATGTTCCCGCTGACTGATTCCTCTTTCAGTTTGAGTCAGCGGATGTGACCTTATGATGACATTTGTAGAGAGTGGCAATGGCTGCAGTAGCTGTACACTTTTCCAAAGCTCACTGGCGGGGCAGGTCCAGGCTGAGTCATCTGATACCTGAAGTGGAGCTTAGGACCCTGGATACTGGGTGTTCCCCTTTGTGCTCATGTCCTATTTCCAGAGGAGTGAGGACTCCATTTTGATTGTATCTGAAAGGTAATTTTTTTTCTGTGAGGGGCCACTGTGCGTAGGTAGAAGTCATACACTGAGTTGAGATCCACCCTGACTTATGAGTGTGGCTCAGCAGCCACAGAGGGGGATAAATTCCTCCTGAAAGGGGAATTATGTTCTTAGTAGAGTGATCTTGAAACACCTACATCTCTCCAGCACTGAAGTATTTAGGAAGTAGAACCAGAAGAAAATAATATATAATGTATTCCTTACCCCTGGACACATGTGACATCCTACACCTTTTCCCATACAAGTGCCTCTGACTCCTTGACTCTCTCAAGGTACTGTGGCCAAAGCAATCATTAGTTCTTTCAAAGGAAATTGAAACCATCTACCACTGTGGAGTTTCTTTCTTCTTGTTATTTGAATGTCGGCTGTGTAGCAGGAGACACAGGAGAGTTGCTTTTGGTTCTGGTGTTTGCATTTAATCTTTGGGAGTGTCTGACAGAGGCACAGCATGGCAACACAGAATACACAGCTCTGCTCACTGGAATATGATGGCAAAAGGTAGAGATGTGTGTGCCTTCTGTCTATGCTCTCAGTGAAATATGCCACCCAAAACAAATTGCTGTCTTTCTACAATAAAAAAGTCCAGACAAGGTATAAGTAACAAAGGAACAGCTCCAGGTAATTGGTGCACAAAGCAGTATGCTGTTCTGTGGCAAAGTATTATGAAGATTTTCTGTCCAGGGACTGTTACTGTCACAACTAATCTGTATTTTCTTCCTTTCAGAACAGCCACCATGAGCCAAGTGTTTCAATACAGTAGAGTTAGCCATTGTTGGTAGTTACAGGCTATGGACAAGAATAGTTTATTCTCATCTGCATTTCAACATGTGATGGCACATCTATGGCAGCTCTGCACACAGAATGAATCTGTAACATGCTCATCAGTCTCCTGGGATGCGCAAATGAACTGTGTTTTTTTCACCAAACTTAGTTGCCTGATTCAGTTGTGTAGCTTAGTAGAGCTGAAGGGCTACTTAATTCATCTAATGGAAGTAGAGACTCTGAACAAATCCAAAACTGAAGGAAATGTTAAATGTGCTTTCCTAACCTGACTTCTGTTGGCTATTTTGAGGAAACATGAAGAATAAAGCAAATCTTGCTGTTCATTTCACCATGTTTTCATGTGGTCATCATTCTTTGCCTTCTCTCAAATTCATAGCTCTTTTAATGCACCATTTGTGAGACCCTAGCTGTCTCTCTCATCAGCATGAGTTGTCTATTTCCATCATTTTCTATTTAAAGTGGAAGCAAACAGACCTAATATGCAGTGTCTGAGTTTGAAATCTGTCCTGGAAAAGAGCATAAATTTATGGGGTTTTTTGCAGGTGACATTTTGTAATCTCTTGGAATGTCTTAGGGTGAAGCTGAAAATGCAGATTTGTAACTGTACATGCCCCAGAGGAAATATTAGAAAATCTGATGCAATGCTAATAAATCATAATGATTGTTATTATTATACTTTGGATGTGTTGTAATAAAGCCACAACATTGTTTTATTGGGGAAAAAATCAACCCCCAAATGTATGATTTCATTCCTGTATAGTAATATTTCTGTAATTAATATTTCAAACCTCTATGAGATTTTCCTCTGAGAATACCAAAGTATTTCACAGATACTAATTAAATAAGGTCCTATTCAGCAATCTCTATCCATATAAGTAATCTTGTTGGCTTTCCATCTGCAAGGAATTTTGGACTCTTCTCTGAAGTTAATGCATTTGATTATTTCCACTTCACTAACGTAGAAAATGAGACACAGAGGAGTTAAATTATTTACTCAAGACAAAAGGAAGAGTTAGTGGTATCTGAAAATAGATCTTCTGAAGTAGAGTCCTGTGCTTTTATCGGAAAATGGTGCAGCTGCACTCAAGGAGCTCCAATTTACATCAAAGGGGTGCACAGGGCTTTGCAAGGAAACCCAGGAATGTGGGAGGGAAGGGAATTGCAGTGTGCATGATGTGAATGGCATGGGGAACCACCTGCAGTGTTCATAGATTTCGGATCTTGAGCCCCAGTATCTTTTTTCGAATCAAACAGTCCATCCTAGAAGACATAGACACCCTTGCCTTTGCCAAGCACAAATCTGCATCACAGTATCGGCATTTTTCCTTGAGTTCAGGGGGACATCAAGCAGACCATAAAAGTGCCAAGGGTGCGGATCCAATGAGAGACTGACGAGAGGCAAGCAGTTAAACATGGGAGATAGTCACTCTTGGTTTTTAGCCAAGGCTGATTACAATCTTAAAGTAATATAATGGAAAAAAGTTCTGGGTGTTGTTTAAAAGTCACAGAGGGTTGGCTGACGTTGTCAAGGGCATAAGGGTTTCACACCCTCTTGGTGATGACATCCAGGGCTCCTTTGCCTGCCACAGTAACTGATGAATGTCCTTAACTTTGGACAAAACAACAGCCCTAGCAATAGTTATGAGGGGCAGGTGGTTTTGCATACAGCAGGGAATGGGGCCATGTCATGTACTGGCTATCCTGTCCTGCCGGAGCAAGTCGGATGGAGGAGCAAACATGGAGAGGGAATGATGCTGGTCCTGAAAGACCTGATGGGTGAAGCAGGTGAGTTGGAAGGGATCATGTATGAGTGGATGATATGGTCTTGCTAAATTTGTTCCCTTCAAGATTGCTCTTGCTAAGCCTTAGATGGGGGTGTTTATGCACTGACAGGGTGAATACAGCTAGCCTGAGGCTCGACAAGGTACTTGGAAAGGAAACCACTGCAGTCTAGGCTTCATTCTCTTTATATGCAGTGTTTTGCCATGGGAATCAGTGAAGCATGAGCTGAAGGAAAAAGCAGAGGCATTGCTTTGATACTGTACTATAGTTTCCCCTCATTCACGTTATTAGCTGGACAGATACATAGAAATCTTCCCAAACTGAGTATTATCCCTGTGTTCCAGCTAATCCAAGTGTCAGTTCTCCTGTGCCTGGCTGTTTCCTTCTAGCTCATCTGTGGATCAGCGCTATCTCTTCTCTGGCCAGCTTGCTTTCTGCCAGATGTGGGGAAGATGGCTACCATTTCACATTTATGGCCTCCAGGAGTCTGAGAGAGGGTCTGTCATTCACATTTACATGGTACAAGAGCAGTTCTTTTCCACTAGTAAGATCTTACAAATACTACTTGGAACAGGTTCACAGCTGCTTTTGTCATCTTTTGGAATCCTGAAGTCTCAAACTTGCAGCCTTAAAAATTTATGAACCAGTCTAAAACATCAATAAATACCCATGTTTGGCTGTTTTGTTTAAGAAGCAGCAGCTAAAAGAAAAGTAAATGGATCTCCCTTCTCCCCAAGTAAATAAAACTCTCCAGGACAAAATATTTTACTTCAAAATTATACAGCAATTTTTTTTTTCTTCTTTAGGTTCCAGAAACATGTCCATATATGGTCTACTTGTCAGGGACAATAAATAATGATGTAATAGAAAGGTCAACTTTGTGTCGTTTAGCTACAGGATGCATGGTGAAGTGAAGTTCTTCAGATAATGCAACAAAGAAGAACTTTAGGATGGGTAAAAGTTTCTGCTGTGCATCTTCAAACAGGAAATCTGAGATTCAGAACAACTTATATTTTGGCTTGTATTCACTGATCATGGGGTGATCCAGAAATAAACTCCAGGCTTCAAAGCGAGAGTGTTTCAAAGCTGTCCTGCAGTTGATCGAAACATCCAGGCAAAGCAGGGAGACGAATACCAGCGAGAATTTTCTGAATTAAGACTTAATCAAGGAGATAACCCCTTTCAGCAGTATTATTACCCTTTTATTTCAGAACAAAAAGGTAATACAAATATGCATGTTTTGAACTGATTTAGCATTTTCAATCTGTCAGTTTGCTATGTCTATGCAAATATTTATTCCTATAGCAGTTTGTAACATAATACCCTAATGCAGTCTTGGCAGTTTTTGTGGCTTCATTTTGTTGTGATTTTTGTTTTTGTTTGGTTGTTTGTTTGTTTGTTTGTTTGCTTCAAATAAGCCATAAAACACTCACTGGTGTTAAGCAGAACTATAGCTCTGTCATTTCCTCAGTTTTCTTTTACTTGCAGGTGATGCTTATATCTTTGTCCCTGTAATAGCTTGCTCAGAAATGATTGTTGTAGTTACAACATGCTAAGGTACAATGTAGTATGTAAGGCACAGTGTTAAGGAAAAAAATCACATAGCGAATGATTTCTTTCATTTATAATTTTCCAGTTGCTATGACATGAAGCTAATATTACCCTGATTGCTGTGTGAACGAATGCTTTCTGAGAAGAAATAAAAGCTTGCAGGTGTATGCATTTCCAGTAAAGAATTTGTGCAGAATCGTGATTTGATGGCATCATAACATATGCCAGACTGATAGGTGACCTGTTTTGACAGCTGGGGCTGGACAAGGGGGTTTGTTTGCTTGAAGGATTCCTTTGGGAAGCCTGGCTTTGCTCCTTTAGCACTGGGCTAGAACTCAAGCAGTTTGCATAAGCTGTCATTACAAAGTATGTTTGCCTGTTGCTACAGCCAGACAGCATGAGGTGTCATTCTTCTGATGTCCCAGCTCTGGCAGATCTGATGGGCACCAAAATCTTTCTGTTTTAAAAAAATCATTTGCTTCCCAGTAGTAGTTATCCAATATAATATCCTTGGAGAACTGCAAAGGTTTACCTAGAAACTGACCTAGAATACAGCAAAAACGTGAGTGCTTGAAGTGCTGCAAATTGGTCTAGTTTCCATTGCCAGCAGAAGATCTGGCACGAAAGGTGCCGCAGTAAGAGCTGAAGTGGAGAATGGGTTTACTGTGAAGACTTCCAGCCATGTTTACCCTCCCCCTATGCTTGCTCCTGCTGCTTTCAGAAGTAATGCCAGTGGAAGCTGGGGCTCAGTCATTTCTTGCAAAAGGCAAAATGAGCAAACCCTCCTCTCTTTTGTGGCCTCTGGAAACTTGGTTTTGGTTTTAGAAATTTGGTTTATTGCACCCTGAGCCATAAATGTTGAGGTTCTGTATTGAGTTACAAGCTGACTGGGGTAAACTCAGTGCAAAGGCAGGCAAAGTCCCTGGCTCTGCTCCCTTAATGACCTTGTCACTCACCTGCCACCCTCCTCTGACAGCAGTAAGTAACTCTGTTAATTCTGCTGCCTAGGATCTATTGAAGGAGGACAGGCAGCCTTGCTAAGCTTTTCTTTAAGGAAGTACTATCAATGGGGACCAGTTGTTTCAGATGCTAATTGTATTGAATAGTGCAGTTCTGCATGTTCAAAGCCAGCTGTAATCCTTGTTGTTTATTTATGTTGCATCAGGGATCAGAGGCCCATTCTCCCAAACACTATATGTTGACAGAGCTTGTAGTCCAAACATAATAGCAACCTAATTGTGTTTGTCTGTGGGTTTGGCTCTAATGTGAGTAGTTACTAGTAATCACCCTGTGAGTAGTACCTTTGGTTTTAGAGATCTGTCAGGTACAGCTGCTCATTAACACAGGACAGAACGTCACAGCCTGGCCCTTGCATAAGCATTTAATTTCTAATCTTCTGGTCGCTGGATGCTGGTAAATTACCTCTGTATGGCACAGACCTAATTTCTACATCTAAATAAACAAACTCTCACTGAAATGAGGATGGCAAAATTAAGATTCAGGTTCAGGCCCTACATGGAAATGATGATAAATTTAGATCCAGAAGATCTTGTCAGACTGAGCTATTAAATGGCAGCACAGGCAGCAGTATCCTAAGATGTGTTCTGCCAAGAGAGATCACTAGTGAAGCCATTCAGACCTGAAGGCAAAGCAGTCTCTAAGGAATAATGACACTAGACCCACAGCTTTAAAAATCAGATTCTGCTCTTACAGTAGATGCAATGCTATGTACTACCTGCATGTGAGGATGGGCTCTCAGACTGCCAGAGAAAAACAGGGGACAGCCAAACATTAAAACCTCCCCCAAAAACTAGGGTGAACAGTAAACCCAGCATTTAACTCATAAATCTGATACCAATACTTTAAACCTATGGTAAGCAGGCTTAGAGCAAGCAAATAGATTCAAGCTGCATTGAGAAAGACCACTTTGGCCAGATCATAGAATCATAGAATACCATGTTGTAAGGGACCTCAAGGTTCAGCTCTTACTTATCCAAACTTGTTCAACCATTCCTAGCACAAAGATTGATATTTTTTTTTCACACCTTCATTATAGATGATGAAAAATATTTAGCATATAGTGCATTAGTCTAGTGGCCATAGTTGTCAGTTTGCCACTGGCCTCAGATGGGGTAACCTTAGCTCTGCTGTGTCAGCTGAGACAGAGTAGGTTTAGGTGGCTGCAGCAGCTCCAGGCAGTGCCACCAAGCTCTGCTGCGGGGAAAAAAGGTTAAACTGAATCAGGCTGCATTGCATTAACCTCCACCTGAAGGCATGTGCTCAGCCCTTACCGCAGCTCACCTGGCACTCCGTGGGTTGTTACAGAAATAACTCAAACCAGTACCTGAGCCCTGGGGCTCTGCACCTTCAAACAAAAGCATCTCCAGGTGGAAGGGGATGGTGATGGTGGTTCTGCTCTGCTTGGGGCTGTCACACAGGGACCAGTAGTAAGGAGGCACATGTTGTCAGTCACACCACACAAATCAGTCTGAACAAGGGCAGACAGGCAATGGGATGCAAGAACAGCTTCAAGCCCAACTAGAACAGCTTCTTCAAGGGTTCAGGACAGCCAAGGGTGTCCCTGGATGTTAGGACAGGCCCAAAAGCTCCTGCAGCCTCAGGATGTGACCCTCACAACTTCTTCGGGGTTGTGTCAGTTAGATGAGAATAACTGAAAGCTTTCTCTATTTTGGGCACTACAAAATTTGTTCCTGTAGGATGAGTCAGTGGCAGGAGCTGCAGCCAACACTGTTGTTTCTGCACTCTGTGGGACTCCTGTCAAAATATTTAGATTAGTGAGGATCACCAACATGCAAAGAAGGTTCTCCCCTTTCTCTGTGAGTGGGTGGGACTCAATTAACCCATACAAAGAATAAGAGGATGAAATAGGAGTGATCCCCGAACTCAAAATCGTCCTTTTCCCTCTCTGTGCCTTAATGAGGTGTGAAAAAAAAGGAGGGAAGATGTCTAGAAATGGCTTTTATACCTAGATCCATTGTGGATTTAGTGAGGCACCTAAACCAGTTAGCTCCTCTGTGCCAAAGTGCATAGTCACATTGACAGTGATCTCCTGTACACTCCTCAAAGCCTTAACTGCCCACAAAGGGACTCCACCACCCAGCTCAGAAGCACAGTGAGGCTGGACTCACTGCCTGATCCACCTCCTGTGCCATCAGGATGTTGGCAGTGGGGCTGGGGAGGTTAAAGAGGAGGGATCTGTGTCCCAGGCTCCACTGGTGCAGGTTGCCCTCAGAGAGGAGCAGTTTCACTTCCATTCTTGCCTCCTCCAATGAGTTACTGTGCATCACCTCCATTAGGAGCTTACAATCAGATCCTGTCCTTGGCATTGATTGCTTAGGTTAGGTCTCTGAGTCACCATTGAGGCCAAGTCCCTACATTTAGACTTAGAGTGCTGGATGCTGAAGATAAGCACTTTGATTCCAGCCCATGGATTTCACACATTTGCAGTGCACCAGTTACTAAGTGAGTACCTAGGCTGACAGACTATGAAAGTGTTGCCCAGCATGCCAGGAGTTGAACTAGCCAAGCAGCAGCAGAACCTGCTGGGAAAACAAAGCCATGTCATGGTTCTTGGCAAGCAGCTGGCTGGAGCGCAGCCAGGGATGGGTACTAGAGCAGCTGGGGCACAGGGCGGGCAGTGGCTCTGTACGGGAGCTATCAGCAGTTTCATGCAGGAGCTTGGTTCCTTGGGACTGCAAGGGTCATAGCAGAGCTGAGGCACACCAGCTCTCACTGGAGAAGGTAGCCAACAGCAGCCATATGTGGCTGAAATTGAAAAAAAGAAAACCCAACAAAATTGGGTTGCATTATTTACAGCAACAGAAGGTTTTATTTTGACAGTTTTCATGGCTGTAAAATACATCTTTTGTTGTCAAAAGTCATAATGTAAATCTGAAATTTGCAGGGCTTCCCTTTACCCTGAATTCTTCCCACTTCTTCTAGGGTATGCTTGGAGTCTGAGGTTGCTGTCGATGTGGGAGATATCACCATTTCTGAAATGAAAAGCTTAAATCCAAGATTTTAAGTTACTTACGGCTTGATTCGAGTTCTTGCAATTTCTTCAAAGTGTATTAGTTTATTTTTTTTTTTAAAAAATAAGGTTAAAGAAACAAACATGAGTGTCTTGACATGTATAGATAATGGCTCTGTTGCCATTTCCTCCACGTCAGGACTGTCTCTTAGCCACGCATGCAGCAGTGAGGACTGCTAGAGCAGGGCAGTTTCCTGGTGTGAGGCTTGTGGTGTGCTAGATCCTTCTGCCATCGATGTGGGTGCGAGTTCCCGGGAAGCCAGGCTGCCCAGGGCTCTCAGTGACCCAGGGGCAGAGCCCCAGCCTGCTGCACAGGGAGGGGAGCTGAAGGCTTTGCTGTGTCAGCAGTGCTGGTGTGGTGGGAGGCAGGTCCTGAGCCATGGGATGCTGGGTGGCTCTGCCATCCTCATGCACGTAGCTCTGCCAGATGGCCGGGCTCAGTAGGACTCATGGCTGGGCAGGGCAGGGCTGTGCAGAGCTGGAGACCAGCCCTGCTGTGGCATTGGTGGGACAGGGTGGGGGCAGGCAGCTTTGTCAGCAACCCCACTGGTGCACTCTGCCAGCCTCTCACCTCTTTACACATGGGGAACATGCCTCCCCCATTCCCTTCTGCTGGCTCCCTGTCCTCCCCTGTCCTGTTCACATCCTCCCGGGCAGCTTGTACCTGTTGCTCCTCATCCTCTATTATTTTACATAGTTCTCACTCAGTGCTTATAAAAATCAAGCCTGTTCCCCTTTGGCTGTCATCTTCTTAACAGAGGCAAGCTTTTCCATCTCCTCCCATGAAATAAGCCCTTGGCTCTTGAACGCTGGTGGTCAGAATGCTCTCTGGCATCCCAATGAGATCCTGCTAGAGCATTGTACCATTCATGGCATTAGTACTTCCATACCATTGCTGGAAATACCACAGTATTTTGGATTTTCTTTGCTTTCTTGAGTCCCTGCTGTGGTGATGGTTCACATTCATTCTGTGATTGCTCAGTGTGCCCTGATGTTTCCCCTTCTCTCATTTCCAGCTCTTAACCACCAGTTTTTAGAAGTGACTCTGAGCTCATGACCTTGAACTTTGTCTGTGAAAATCAAAAAATCAGAAGTGAAACTGAGCAGTGTCATGTTGCTCTCCTAGCTGACTGAAACAGAGTCACTTCAAAGAATAGTTTTGCATGTTGCTCAAGAGATGTCCAGATAAGGTGCAAAAAATAACTCCACAAAGTCTCTTTACACCTTGTGATGGAGAACCTGCCCTTGCAGAAAACCAGCAAACAGACAAACTCTTACCTTCATTTTCTACAATTAGAGCAAGAAATAAAAGAAACAAACAAAACCCTCAAAAGATATGTCCATTAGCATTTTCCTTATTAAATTCATTTCAAAGCTGTATCTCTAATCTTACAGGGATTTCCTTTACCTATTTTTCTCTTGAGCCATGATAACCAGAATAAGTAGATAAAAAACTGCCTTGCTTAACAGCAGCTTCTTTTTCTTTTTTAAACACCAGCTAAATCAGTTACTTGTGTCTGATAGAAAGGAGTTAGTTCATTAAGTTTACACGCAGATTTTAGCTGGTAATGTTCTCTTCCCGGTGAAGGATTTCTGAAGGTTTTCTGGTCAGCCTAATCAAGAGGCAGAGCTGAAAAAAAAAAAAAAAAAGCACAAGATAATTGAGTTTCTTTAATTTTCCAGATTTTGATGATCACTATTTCCTTCTACGGAAAAGGAAAAAAAAAATAAAAGTATGGCTACAACGGCAGCAAATACTCAAAGACAAACAATAGGCTGCGAGGACTACAGTCTGTACAGTAGCCTGAGTGAAGAGGAGCTTATAAACATGGCCATCCAGCAGAGCTTAGAAGAGGACCCTGCAGGTCAGCCAGCTGCCCAGAGCCACCAGAAATCGGTGGTGGCAAGTCCCAGCGAGGTGGCCACCCCCAGCCGCACCAACAGCCATAACCCGCCCTACCGCATCTACCCTTGGCAAAGGTGAGTAAGCGCCTGCCTGAGCTGTGCTGTCCCAACAAACACCCTGCCCAGGAACAGAAAAACAGCTTCCCCTGTCAAAACACACGCTTTCTAATTAGCTTTACTGAGCAGCTGCTCTGTGAGTCTGTCATTAGTTTGAAAGCCAGAGCCTCCTATAAATCCAATGAGGTCAACGTTCTTGTTGAACGAAATGAGAATTTGCTTATTGCAGCAAATAGAATAAGAAAAGGGGCACTGCTACAAGCTTTCCTGAATGACAGAAGCCCTGCTGAAGCCAGTGGCTCCTTTCCCTCAGGGGGTACACTGTACACAGAGTTTAGGTTTTGCCAGAGAGGGAGCACAGCGTTTGTTATGGGAAAACATAGGAGAGAGGCCAAAAATAGGTATATAAAACTGTGAGCTGGCTACCTTTTAGATACTTCAGTCTTTAAAGGATGTAGTTATTTCAGATCAAAGTCTGACCTCAAGCACACTGCTCTCAGCCAAGAGCAGCTTAAGACACCAAAGTGTGGTAGCATCCCCTTCCCCTGTGATGCTGGGCTGGGGGTTACAGAAACTGCTGACAGATTCAAACCCAGACATTGATCTCGTTTTTTAAAAGGCAGACTTCTCAAGGGGGGAGGGAAGAGGTTACAAAGTCACCCCAAAACTAAGGAAAATATATCCTTTTAAACTTTTTTTTTTTTTAATAAACTGGGAGTAACTGAAGTTTCTTATAACTCCACCATCCTCTGACACTTCACTCATAACCACCAGTGATTGGTTTCCAAGGCTGGGAAACTGGGGACAGTTTGATGAGAACTAAGTGTGTTTCATAGCTACAGAATCAGCATGCTGTACAGCAGTCCTGCGCTCACCAAAGGTTATGGCTTCTTGGTGTCATTACTGTGCACTTGTACTGCCAGCTCTGTTGCAGGGACCCGATGCGGGGAAGAATAAGGGCTTCCTTGGCTGTTTGGTCCTGTCCTACTTGGGGGTCCTTTGACACCTGCTATTTTGGCAAAAGGCAGCATCTGCAGTTCTGTTCATTAACCTGTTCTGCCTTTACCTCAGACCAGCAGCTTTTGACCTCCCACTGGAGGGAAAATCTTTGCAGCTTGTAGCTCCAGATCTGTAGCATTGCTGAACTCTTCTGCCACCTGGGAGAGCCGAGCTGGAAACAGAGCAGGCACCCGGGAGCCTGGGTCCTCTTCCACCCCCCGCCTCCGACCTGCTTGCGTGACACTTCAGAGGTGATGAATGTCACCCCACCTCGCCTCGTGCCTGCTTCCTGTGCGGTGGTGGTAGGGTTAACCTCACTGTTGTCTTATATGGTCATTTGAATCCCCTGACGCTTCCTCAGAGGGCCAAAAATAATCTCGAGCTGAGTGAGCAGCTGAATCCAGCACAGAGCAAGCCGTGGCCATCTGCTTTTATTCAAAGCCCTGACCGGCAGGCTTTCTTGCTCCGTCTCTGTGGATGTACATCCCTGTTTCTGCCTCAGCATGACCTGTTTCTCCTATTCGGAGTATTTCTCTTTATTTCATTCATGTCATCGCCACTCCAGATTGGCAGCCCAGCCAAGAGGCCGTGCTCAGCCGTCCAACTCGGGGGCAGCCTGGGGGGTCAGGCGAAGGTACGACGGCAGCCTGTTCAGCACATCACAGCCCGTGTAAGTGCCTCCTTCTCCCTCTCCCGCTTTCCCCCATGGTCTGAAAAAGCCTTGCTATGCACTCTCCCCCTAAGCCAGATCTTCTGGGTGACTGGTGGGGGGAAATAGTGGTGTTCATCTGGAGGAGGTCTTGCTGATACCTGCACCTCATCCTCGCTGCCTTCCTGCTCTTCCTTATGACCTCCCAGCTGCCCCAGGCCATGCCCAGGCTCTTGCAGGTGACCTGGGGGTGAAAAAAACCCTCCAAACCTCCCTTGTTCTCTTTTTCCCCTTCATCCCTCTCCATCCCTCCAGTGCCTGTGTCCTGGGGACTCCAGGTCATTCTGTGGCTCTGAGGTGACAAGGACAGCAGGAAAAGCATGCCTGCGCTGTGATTTATTTATATAGGCTGGCTCCTGTATCAATACAATAGATGAGGCAGACAAGTGCTAATAGTAATTGCACTGGTACTAAGTTCACAGTTCAATGGTGAGGAAGAGTGGGGAAGACAAACATTTTATTGCAGTTATATAAACAGGGTGAGAAAGGCCAATTCTTCAAAGTAAATATTTTATAAATAGTCCCAAATACTGTGCCTGTTCCCAGCAATATCTGCACAGTCCTGCCACACCAAGAAGGGCTGCTGGGGAGCCATACCACATCTTACCTGCCCAAGGAGGAAACCAGCTTGACTGATCCTCCTGGCCATGTTTTGCTGTTGGCAGAGACCATAAATAAGCTTAGGCGAAAAGAGTCATGCATGAGGAAAGTGGATAGGCAAGGGGGTGGCCTGAGCTCTGCCGCAGTACCTGTGTGTAGTGGTAATGTCTGGACCATGATGGTTTTATTACAGCTCTCTGCAGGGCACAGTGGATGCATGCACCTGCCTTTAGCTATCATGAAGAGAGGAAAGTGTTGTAGGCAGCACTTCTCTGTGTCCTGCAGAAAACTCTTTTTTTTATCTACCTAGTTCAAATCCACTTTGGTTTAGCTGACTTACAAGTCCCTCCCTGGATGCATGGTTGCAGTGGCTACCCCTCCACCACTCTTCTTTTCATCTCTCACCCAGCTCTACAATTTCCTTCACTTCACCCTGCACGCTGGCTGATCCAGGCTCTGTCCATGGCTCTCCACAGACACTGCCCTCCCTGACCTTGTGAAAACCTCTTTCTGCTGAAATATGAAGCCTCCCTTATCCCTGTCACCTGCCAGCTCCCCTTGGCCACAATGAAATCAAATCCTCTCATTAAGTGCTCTGCACACCTTACATGCCTCTCTGCTGCTCTGGGTTCCATGACTGGAGGGCAGGCTTTTCTTCTGCATCACTAGCTCAATAGAGTTCAGTCCACAAGAAGACTGGGATAAGGTTGATAAGCTAGCCCTCCTCTGCTGGCAGGTGAGAGCAAAATTGTAGCTGGGAAGCCATAGAAGAGCATGATGCCATGACTGTTTTATAGCCCTGGTCTCTGAGCCTGGAAGGAATGATAGCTGGCTTCACCTGGGGAGATGTTCCTTCATGCTACCTGCATCTCACCAGGCTGCCAGAAAAAGAGGGAGCCTCCTGAACCTTTCCATGCTCCACTGAACCTCTTCTGCAGCACTCAGAATTGATCCCCCATATACATCTCATCTACAATGAGTATTTATTATCTTGGCTACTGGCCTTTGAAATGCAGTAATTCTTTTGAGTCACCTATAAGATTTCATCAGATCTTCAAGCTTCCTCCATAGTTTTAATACATGTTTTTGCTATATCTGATGAAATCCAAGCAGGAGAATTTGCTGAGTTCTTATAACAGCCAACTATGAGCCAGGCAGAAAACAAGGATTTCACATGGAGATTCATTAAACTTTCTGTACTAATATGGAATTTGCTTGGCTAAAGCATCTACATCCTGGTCCAGCAAATCCCCTCATCTTACTCAGGAATCATTTAAGGTCAAGAAGCCTGACAGAAGTTTGCTTCATTCAACATCTGAGGGCTTAAGCAGAATAGTAACTGATTCTTCACACATTTTTAACCCTACCACAGATCCGAGGTACCCTCTGCTTTCACTGAGGTCTCAGCTAACGTGATCCACCTTGCGTTTGCTGTGTGCCAGCCCCATGCACAGACTCCTGCTGTGGCCCACCTAGCATGCAGTAGTTCCTTAAGCACCGGTAACTCTATCATGAACCCAAACCCTAAGGTTGCAGTGAGCAGCCCTGCACGTGTAACATGAACCTTTGCACAGAACAACAGATGGTTTCAGCAGCCTTGTGCCAGAGGCTTTTAAAGATGAAGATTCCCCCACCTCCACCTCCTCTCCCAGCCAAACATGCCAATTGTTGCTGTTAACTGACTTCAACAAAATGCTCAATTTCAAATGCCTATAAAAAAATCTGTGAATTACACAAAATGAGAAAGAGTCCTCTAAATATCATGGATTTACAGCAGTGTCCCTGGGACCTCAGCCTGGCAGTTATCAGGTCAGTCGATTCCTCCTGGGTGGGCTGTGTCCAGGAAGGCAGCTGCCTGCTCTAGCTGTTATCTCCTCAGGCAAAAAGCCTGGCTTTTTGTCCCATATCTCCTGCCATTCCAGTGTTGCTATTTTTGTGACTCTGCTGTCTTGAGATCACTGCTTCCAGCTATAGAGAAGGAGCATGTGGCACCAATCACTTTTTCACCTGGGAAACTGTGTCTTTCCCCATTCCTTGGCACGTGCTGTGTTCACCTGTTCTGCTCCAGGTCCTGAGCTTATCCTTAGAGAAGCAGCTTGGTGACTTTTTATTCAGTGCTAATATCAGTGTTTATGGCACAGATTTGGTACCTCTGGACAAGCTGAAATTAATGATGCCAGTGTGAGTTTCAGGCTATCAGTCTATCCAGACCCTGCAATGAAATCCAGTTCTGCTCCTGTAACTTGCTCTAAATGCAGAAGTTGCACCCACGATCCCCTTTCTGAGGACTCCTGTGCTGAGCTGCTCATATTTTTCGGTCTCTGATCTCACTCTTTTGTGGTATTTTAGACCTTCTCTCATAACCAGAGTTTCTGGTTGTTCCTGTTGTTACTGCCCTGCATGACCTTCATCACATGCTGTATTCCTACCCTGGCAATGCTAACAGTCTGAGGCACACACCTCCCTCCCCAGTCTCTCTGCCTTCAAGTCTGCAAGACTTTCTCTTTAGAGTTTGTTTAGACCACAAACTCTCCTATGTTTTTAACATCCCCTTGTTCTCTCTCTATGAAAATACAGCCCATGTTCATTTTTTGCAAGTCCCCCTTAGAAGTGGAAAAATGCTTCTTCTTTTGTGGTGTTCGCTGTCCTGGAGCTTAGCTGTTTGGTGCCTCAGAATAAGGAAGCAGGGGCTGCCTTCTCCCAGCAGAGCTCAGCAGGAGCACGAGCAGATGCTAGTGCTGCAAGGCATAGCACACCACCATGCCCAGAGTGCTGTCTGTCACAGGCCAGGATCCTGCCTGCGCTGGCTGCAGGTACCAGCTCCCTGTCCCAGCTGTGCTGACAGCAGTCTCAGCTGGGGTGGAAGGAGGGAGGCAGGCCCTGCTCCAGGCACTGGTGATCGGTGGTACAGTGGCTGTCAGGCAGTGATGTGACTCCTGCTGTGTGGGGAGTCCCACAGCAGCTCTCGTGGTGGCTCTGCAGAAGGACTGGTGTGCCCAGGTCAGCCCTGCTCTGCAATTGCTCTGACAGAGCTCAGAGAAATGCGTTGCTGCCTGGGCTGGGCAGAATGCATGCTTGGCAGAGTGAAGGCTTAGAGCAAAGCGAGCTTGTAGGCTGCTCGCTGTGTCTCACTTCTGGGTGGCATGAAGCATACTTCATGGGTTTTGTAAGATTTTCCCAACGACCCTCTTCTTGAAAACTTCAGAATTAGGTAACACCAAAAAAAAAATTACTTTCATGATATTTTTGTTTTCTCTGGTAAACACTGAAATACTGCTTTAACACTTTTCAGTGATTCTACACATTTCAATGGCTTTCTACTCGAAGATACTTTAAAATGTTTTCTCCCCCCCCTAATATTTTTTTATTCCTTTTACTCCTTGTGCCTAGAAGTTACTTGGCCCTGGTGGAGCCTGACAGTGGTTTGCTGGGTTCAAAAGGACCAGAACATGAACTACTTCACAGCTTGGCACCAGGTCCCAGTTGTGGTTCCAGAGGCCCTTGACTGTTGTAGTTACTTGGGGAACTGCTAACTCACTAACTTGGTTTGCAAGAGTGGAGTTGTCACAGAGCTAACAGGTCTGCTCCCAAGCAGGTTGCTAAAGACCAGATTTTCAGAAGTGCCCAGCACCTGATGTGTCTTACTGGGACACCAAAGACACATTTGTGAACATCTATATTGTCTGAAGTAGTTATAATTTCTGAAAATTTGAGTACTCAATACTGAGATAACAGCTGGGGCATGGTCATGAAGGACAACTCAAAATTTCATTTGTGTGGGTGGAGGTTTTTATAATCCTCCTTGGCTGAAGAAAGGAGAGCCCAGACCAACACCTTAATGTTCACATGGTCTAAGTAGAGCTCTCCCTTCTTCATAACTGGACCAGAAAACTTCTGAAAGCAGGCTTGCATAAGAGAAATAGAACATATCTTAAAATACATGAACAAGACTTATTAAGCATTTCTGCTTTAGGGCTAAGCCACCTGCAAATCAAATTTATAATTTTCTTCAGGGATGAACAGAGGTAATTCTCTTCAAAGCTGATCTTATTTAAGGGATCTCATATGGAAACACCTTGCCACATGGGACAGAAAATGGCAGGGTGATGTAATTATCACAACCATGGACACTCATGGCTGTGTACAGAGCAAGGGTAGAGCTAGTCGCCTCCAACTCCAGATATCTAAAATACAAGTGTTTATGCCAGGGATTACTCACACCTACACTTTGAGATCAGCAACTTCCAGACAGTGACTCTTCTCATCTGTTGTGAATGGACAAATAAGAGCAGAAAAATTTTACCCCTACAGGCCCTGTAGCAAGACACCTTAGGGCCACAGACACTTACTCTATAGGCTGTAGGGGTTCACTGTTTTGGCCAAATGATACAGTAAAGTTGCTTCTCAGTGATGAAGGAAGCAGTAATCAAGTTTTAATCTTGTTTTGAAGAGAACTTGACCCTGTAGTGGCAGCAATAAAGGATGGAGATGAAAAAGCAGTGTGCAACATGATGAAATCAGGAAAAAACCTTTCGGAACCTAATAAGGATGGCTGGTTACCCCTCCACGAAGCTGCATACTACGGCCAAGTGGGTTGCCTGAGCCTGTTACAAAAAGGTCAGTGAAGTTAAAACTACTTAATTACAAAAGGGAGAAAAAGAATGAGTGAACTAAAAGCAGAATCAGCATCAGTCCAATCCTCATCTGGGACTGTGTGTGAAGCTTTTTTCCAGCCTTTCTTGGTGTATATCAATTTCACCTTCTCTTTGAGAAGAGGTTTCCAGACTGAATCCTCTAAAAGTTAGGATCTTCAGTTGAAAGTTTTATCTGGATAGATCCTGCCAAGCCCTGAATTTCTCACAGTAAAACCTTGTAACTGAGCTTTCAGCTGCTGTGATCTGCTTGGCTGCCACAGCTGACAGCAGTTACCCCACTTCCCATTAATTGAAGATCCAGCCCAAAACCTCTTTGCTGATGCCCGAAGATGGTTTCAGACTGCTACTGAAGAACAGTTACTCAGCAGCTTTCTGCATCACTAGTGGCCACAGCTGAACATTTTAATCTAAATTGGTGACTGATTTAGATACTTAATCTGAGTTATAGTAACTTTATAGTATATTCTTAAATTACTTTGCTCATGGAAACAGAAAAGAAAATAAACACTGAAAACTTACTGAAAAATCCAAGGATTTTGAAAGGTGATGATCCTGAGGATACTTGTGTACTACGTGCCATAATGACTTTAGACTCTCCGTTTCTTCACAGCGTACCCCGGCACAATCGACCAGCGCACCCTCAATGAGGAGACAGCTCTCTACCTGGCCACCAGCCGGGGCAACCTGGACTGCCTGCTCACCCTCCTGCAGGCTGGGGCCGAGCCTGACATCTCCAACAAGGCCCGAGAAACGCCACTCTACAAAGGTGAGTGGCTGCTTTTCCAGGAATACCGAGATCTTCTGGCACCACCAAGGCAGAACTGCAGGATCGCTTGTGATGCGGGGCTGAAACTCAGCGATTAGCTCCCATTTTCTACCTCCCTCCAGTAGCCATCAGTCTCCTATGTCTGACCTGTCATGCCATGGCCTCTCTTCTCATCCACATCAGAGACAGGACCCTGCCCTGCAGGGTGTGGGCTGCAATGCAGTGCTGAAGGTGGGATGTGTGATGCTTAGTGGGGCCCTATGCAGAGGGTGTCTGCACAATGTCCCAGACTTATGGAAAGCTGGACAGTACAGGATTATGTATGCTTTTCTAAACAGCAGGACCTAAGTAGCTGTTAGATGTGAGAGTACAGTAACTGTAGATGTGTCAACAATTCATATACTGTGTGCTATGGAAGATGCTAAAGTTATAAACAATTCAGTGAGGTAGGTAGTGTCTAACATGAACATACTACTTTGCTGCTGGTCAGAGAGAACATTTTCTTTAGCAGAACAGCATTACATCCATGATATCATAAAGATTCAGAAAAGGAGGTCATCTCTCACAACTTCATGCCCTTTGACTGCTTCTGCCATGACTATTTTTAGCACTCTAAAACATTAAAAAGTACATATCACTAGTTAAAACAGTAATCTTGCCTCCAACTTTGGATGCCTGGCATTTAGAGCTGCTCCATTTAAAATGCTTCCATTTTAAAATTCTGGCTGATGGTCTGCTAAAGGAAAGCTGTTCAGCTGTGCGTTAAACACACAGTAGCGGTGGTAGTAGTAGTAAAGCTCATAGTAATAACAACAATAATATGAAAGCACCCTTTAGCCAGAGGAAAACTGTTATTAATGTGCTAGTCTTGATGCAAAATCTTCTGGTCTAATCATAACAAATTAGTCATCCCTAGTATGTAAGCAAATTAAACTCTGCAGAGATATGCATAGGTAATTACTGCAGTGTCTAATCACGTAGCTGCTTTCAGTACATGTGAGTGACACCTGTGTATGGGAGAGGAAGCCATGGAGATATACTAAGAGAAGAATCAAAACCAAAAGGCAGGACCTCTGTGAGAAAAAGACACTATTATTTCAAAGAAAAAAAAAACAGCTGCCGTATGAAGAAAGGCTGAGAGAACTGGGTTTGTTCATCCTTGAGAAGAGAAGGCTTAGGGGAGACCTTATCACCATGTTCCAGTATTTAAAGGGTGGCTACAAAGGTGGAGATTCCCTTCTTAAAAGGAGTCACATGGAAAAGACAAGGGGTGATGGGTACATGTTACTCCTGGGGAGATTCCAATTGGACATAAGGAAAATTTTTCACGATGAGAACAGTCAGTCACTGCAATAATCTTGCCGGGGAAGTGGTGGATTCCTCAACATTGGACACTTTTAAGATTAATCTGGACAGGGTGCTGGGCTGCCTTGTCTAGACCATATTTTTGCCAAGACAGGTTGGACCTGTTGATCCCTGAGGTCCCTTCCAAATTGGTATTCTATGATTCTATGCTTCTATGATTCTATGAATATGTTGGCCCCTCTTTTGGTTTATTGTACAACAAATGCTAACTGGGGTTTGTAAATGTAGCTGCTTATTCAAGATACCTTTGGTTTGGGGTCCCACCATAAAGGTATGTAGAAAGCCTAATGATTTGGGATTCAAAAAGCAATGGGACAAATCAGTAGAATAAAAATCAACAAAATACTATTAATTACCAAGAAAATAACTTTAACTCAGGATGCTCCTGAACTATAAATTTTTGCATGCTGAGAAAGTGCTACTGACTCACACCATCATTGATTTCTAAGGATACTTTTCTGGGTACTGTCAGTTTGAGCTTTTTTAATTTTCTTGTCTATATAGAGCTTCATTTGCAGTCCAGGGCAGTAAGATAGAGTCAGTTTGCACAGAATTTGGAAAGAAAGTGTTCAGGTCGTGATTTCTGTAAGATGTTTGTTCTTCATAACTTCTCCTGCACCTTGTCATCTCCCTGTCACTGTGATGTCCAGTTGGTACCAGTGTGCTGGGTTGGATTCCCCTCAGTACCAGGCTTGGCACAAGTCTCGCACAGGATACTTAGACTCCTCCGGGTCCCAGCTGAAGATTGTCTTCAGTGCCACATCCTTTATGAGTCCCAGACAATGACGTTTGGCTAGAGCCTTGGCACTCATATTGACCTAGATAGATTTTTGGTCTTACTATAGCCTAGTTGTATTATATTGCCTTATACTGCATGAAATGGATACCACAACACACACAATCTTTTCAAAAGCCTGTCCTGAACACTTCTCTTTTTTCTTTTTTTTTTCTTTTTTTTTTTTTTCCCCAAACAGCCTGTGAGCGCAAGAATGCAGAGGCCGCAAGACTCCTGGTACAATACAATGCTGATACCAACCATCGTTGCAATCGAGGATGGACTGCTCTCCATGAGGCTGTCTCCCGGAATGACCTGGAGATTATTGATATCCTTGTGAAAGGGGGTGCCAAGATTGAGTCTGCAAACGTCTATGGGATCACTTCTTTATTTGTGGCAGCTGAGAGTGGGCAGTTGGAAGCTCTGAGATACCTTGCAAAATGTGGTGAGCACAGTTGTGCTATTACATGACTTTACTCATTTAATTCTTAATATTTAAAAGTTCCCATTAATTGTCCCTGGCTCAGTTTTTCTCTCTCTGGAGACAAGGCCTAGCTTGCAGAGGTGCTGAAACCCTGTTGCTCCAGATGGCTGAATTGTATAGGGTCTTTCAGAGAACATGGTCTAGACACATGCACTCCCCAGCATTCATTCATGGTCATCTACTTAGGGAAGTAATATGGTGCTCTCTAATTGCATTGCCTGACAGCTTTCAAAACCCATATTGCTGCACACATGTAGCCTAAAATCCAGTCCTAAAAGACAGCTGTATGTGTAATAGATGGCAGAAATTGAACATTAGCCAACCCCATCTGCTCATGAACATGTGCAATGATGGGCAAGGTTAGCTATCCTCTACTGATGAATCCTTCTGAAAATAGATAAAGTACTATTTTATAGTTAATGGATTTACACCAAGGTGAAGCAACCTCACCCTCCCCGTGTATATATGTTCAAACATATAAACAGAGTGAATTTGATTCTAGTTGACACTAAACCTACCTTTTACTCCTCCACTCATGTAAAACAGCTTTACAATAAGCACAACTATTCTGAGACATATTTTATTTTCACTGTGGGCTAATATCTTCAGTGTAGGTAAGAGCTGGGTCCTGCGCTTGTGAAACAAGAGCTAAACAGTGACGAAGATAAGAAAAACTTCTGAAGCAGTTAGTGTGGCTAAGAAACATAAGAGAGTTGGGGAACAAAAAATGTGTTCTGCTGTCCAGCTAGGATTGTCAAGTCAGCTTTATATGACAAATTAGTCCATCATACAGCCTATGATTTTTAGAAACTAAGCCAGAATGTGATTTGTTTTTCAACTTAGATATTAGGATTTCCTTAAAGTTCAATTTTGAGAAAAATACACAGCAGAAAATCCAATAAAACCCCAATTGTTCCAAGCCCTGAAAAACTCCTCTGAGAATCCCGGGAATGATATCACTGCATTGTTTATGATGAGCAATGCTCATCATAAAAAGTTTTTTGTTTTTTTTTTTTAATTTCTTTTTCATTAGGAATGTAGCCTTGTGTTATGTTCTGTCACTGAAATTCTCCTGATATTTCCAGCTACAACATTTTCAAAGGGTCAGACACAACACAGATGTTTCAGTTTGGGGTGAGAGCACAGGGAAATGTTCTCTTTGGCAGGGAGTTTTCATGATCAAATGGGAGACTGATTGGCTTCTTTATTGGAGTTTAAAAGCAAAACTCCAGTGAACTGTCATTCCCATTTAGGATTCACACAGAGCAGCCTTCCTGAGGACATCATGATACAGTATATTACAGTCAAAACCCAGGCTTTCAGGTCTTAATACCTAGCACAGAAAAATCTGGATCCCAAATTATTTGTGCTCAAAAAGTCTTGGTTTATTCTTGCATGTTGTTTATTAATCCAAGCACACACTAGAGCTCAAGAAAAAATGCCCCAAATAGTCTAGTAGCTTATTAATAATATTTGTCTTTTTTTGCTATAATTTACCTAACTTGAACCTTCATGAAGTGGAGATATTGCCTTAGGTGCTGAATTATGAAATGAAATATACATTGACTAAGGCATGATGAAATAAAAGCTTATTAGAACTGTTGTCTGGTACCATGCAGATGTCATGTTATAGAGTCCTATTTTTAGCCTGGATACGTACTAAAATTAAAATATAGTGTAAGTAGTATAAATGTACTTATAGTGTGAATATATGGAGTATAAATAATATGTATAAATACAATTTAATATATATCATAAATATATAACCATAGAATTTTGGAGAGCACCAAGATCATCTAGTTGAAACTCTGGCTCAGGAATAGTATATATACTTAGTATAAACACATAAAAACTAATGGAACGATTGTGCCTAAAGAAAAGACCATGCTAAGTAAGGAACAGCACATTTTAAATTTTTTTGCCTTTAAGCTACAGCTGAATGGAGCCTAGATTCATGACTGGAAGCTAATGGTTGCTACCCATGTTAAACTCTCCCTCATAAAATTCACATCATATTAAAAGTCAGTGGAAATCTGTGATATATCTGTATATAACTGATATGATTGTACCAACTCTGATATGACCTCATTCACATCCCTGCCCAGCACATTTTGTAGCTCTATGCTCATGGAGATGTACGTGTTTGTTCAAAGTACGTTCCTTCTATCTGATTTTAACCTCTTGGTGCTACAAAGATTTTCTTCCTTCTTAGGTGCTGATATAAATACTCAAGCCAGTGATAATGCCTCTGCTCTTTATGAAGCCTGCAAAAATGGACACATACCTATTGTGGAGTTTCTTTTGTCCCAAGGAGCAGATGCTAATAAAGCCAATAAGGATGGCCTGTTACCTCTTCACATAGCAGCCAAAAAAGGGATTTGCGAGTAAGTTTTAGTCCATTTTGTGGTTTCATCTTTTAGAAAAGAATCCAAAGTCCTTATGAAAAGAAGAATGTAATGTCCAAGATCTAATTCTGAGCATTGCAAGTAAGGGAGCTGCCAGCTGAGAGCTAAACTTCCTGCTTGCAGAGCTTGGGTTGGAAATTATAAACTGAAGAGTGTGTTTATGGGTTGGGATGAGATGGGGTGAGCAGCAATGTGGGGATGCAAGATTCCTTTAGTTTTGCCAAGATATCACCTACTATAGCTAAATAACCTCATGTATCTTGGAAGTGGATTAAACTGAGCTCCACAAAATATACTTGAGATGAAATAAGAAAACGTGTGTGTGTGTGTGTGTGTGTGTGTTAGTCCTCAATAGCTGTTGCAGCATAGTTTGCAATCATTTTCCTACATGAGCCCACTGTGATTCTTCTGCACAAGCAGAACATGCTGCATTCATCCCTGGTGTGTTCACTTTTTATTAACAATGATTCAGATGCTGACAGGGGAAAGTGGTTAAGTGAATCTCTAGGGCATTAGTGAGATCGTTGCTAGAATATGGTGTCCAGTTCTGGTATCCTCCCTCTCAGAAACCTTTCAGGAAATTGGAAAGGCTTCAGAAAAGAAGTACAAGAATTACTCACAGTCTGGAAAACACACTTTATTAGTGAGTGATTAAATGACTCTTAAGTATAACAGACAAATGCATAAAAAGATCCAGCGGTTTGTTTCTGAGATGAAATGTGTTTGGGATAGAACTGAGCACATTCTTTAAATCGTGAGAAAAGTAATAAATAGAAATACCAGGAACTGGGTAGACTTACCTGTCCTCTGAAGTAGAGGTGTTTATAGGAGGCTGAGAAACTCTACAGACTCTGATAAAGGATATCTATTTAAAAAATGCTGTCTAGAGATGGGATCATTGCACTGTCACGTAAATAGCGTTTACCGGGCTCTTTCACCTCTTTCAGACCTGGGACGTTGCAGCATCCTTCTGAGCCTGAACTCTTATGCATTCACTCTTGATTCTAGGACAAGTTTTAGCCCCTGCCTTTAGCCCTCACTGATGGAAGGGTGAGTGGCCCACAGCTGTTTTTGCAAAATGCAGTCACATCTTGCAGTGACAGACCCTTTCTGGTGACTCTTCTGTCTATCGCAGTTTCTATCAAAATCCTTTCAGCAATAGTCAAAGGAGAGAGTATATCCAACTGCAAAGACCATTTCTGGATAGTAAAGCTATCTTTGCAGACAACTGCTAGAGCAGATTCTTATATATTTCACAATGTCTGAGGAATTAAAAATTTTGACAGCACTCTTTCTTCCCATATAATTTTTATCCTAGCATTAGGCCTGCTTGGGAATCCCAGTTAAGCTTCTCAAATCATATTGATAGACCTGTTGGAGTAGGCCTGCTTCTTTGTGCAGGCTGTGTATTCTAGAGGGCAGCCCACTGTGAATTCATGTAACAGGTTTATACACTTACAGCATGTATGTGAACACCCTGCATAAACTAAAGCAGGCATGACTCAAAATTTTATCCAGGGTTTGAGTTACAATGACATTTTCTTGAAAACAAACACATTTTAGATGAGAAATGTGCCAGAGACAGAACCCAGGTCCAGTTGCTCACTTTCAGAAAAGCTCATCTGAAAGTTCAGTAAGTTGGTCTGGATCCAATCTGTGTATAGACTCTAGACCAGCTCTCTGAATCTTTTCCTCCCCTCAGTAGTTCCACACCCTAACCTGAAAAGCAATTTACATGGAAACTGCAACCTGTGTCCACCTCCATGTTATGAAAAAAGGACCTCATTCAGATATCACATCTATTATTCCTAACACCCAGCAGCATAAATGAGACCAGAATTCAGCCCACACTCTTCAGTTCCTTCACTTGTAAAAGACTGAGCACAATTTTTTGTGCACAACTGCTGCAAACTAAGTACAAAAGAAAGAAAAAGGAAAAAGATCTTCTCTTATAAATATTTATCTAAATGACAAAGCTTTAGCCCAAGTGGCTGATCATTCCTAATTCCTTTGGTATTCGGTAAAATAACATGTTTCACGGTGACCTCTCTTTGTATTCCTGCAGATTTAGTACGTAATTCTGCAGGAATTCCGTGCTTCAACTTTTTGCCAGAGCACGAAGGCTCCCTACCATCAAAAAGCCAAGAATGTGATCCCAAGGCTCAACTGTTGCTTGGTGTTTGTTTATTTTAAATGACACCTTGTCAATACTGACCTGAAATTCTTAAGGGTCGTCTCATCAGCTGTAGGACAATTGCAAGCAGTCATTTAACTCCTTTCCCCTTGGAACTGAGATGCTGAGAAGGGAAGTCTTTGTGAAGTGTGGGCAGATTTATTAAGTAAATACAAGTCATTAAACTCTTGACACACTCATACTAAGGATGCTTTGCCTCCTCCTCCATATAATTTCTAACAAATAGAAATCACAGAAGCAGGTGTCAGGGATATGGGGAAACTCAGCACTATTTTGAAACTGTACATGAAGCTCAGCACTGTGACAGACATGGGTTGTGATCTGGCTTGCCTGGCCTTGGCTGCCTTCACTTGAGCTGCCTTCTCCCTTTAGATAGACAGAAAAGACTGCAGAGGTGGAGGCACCATATTACTGAACCAACCCACTTCAGAGCATGAGGGAGAGAGACAGGTTCAAACTGCAAATTAAACTCTGATATGGATTTGATGCTTCCTGCTTTTCCTCCCAAAATAAATCTAGGGTACAGGGGCTGTACTAGGGTCTGGGACACTTCAGCATTTGGATGTGGAGCATCAGCGTGACACCCCTGCAGTGAAGTTCAGGTCCCCCTTGCAGGCAGAAATGACACGGTGCCTCTTAAACTCAGTTGTGAAGAGCTGGCTGAAGCACGTATGCTGGAGGGAAAGAACAAAACAGACCCTTAAATCTTCAAAACAGTTGATCATGGGATGACTAATGCTGGCGCTTGGCATGCTGTCCTTGCAGTGCTCTGTGCCCTTTTTGTTATTATGGCTCTTACAGAACATTTGCTAATGATGGGAAGTTGCCAGCTCACCAGCACCCAAACCTCCTGCTCCCTGGTGAGTGTCACAGTGCTGGAAGATTAGTGAGGCTGCTTGGAGAAAAAAAAACACGTGCTTAATTTCCCAAGATAATTACATAATTTTAAAAGCCATTTTGTTTAAAAATGAGATATAGAAGTAACATGGAGACATCAACAGTCCCTCATGTAAATAGGAACATAATCCTGTAAAGTGTTATGCATCTTCAACTCTTATTTCAGCTCCTGGGAGCGTTGGAGGCTCAGTCTTTCACAGGATCATTCAGTGCATGACAGACAAAGGTTTTCCTGAGACTAGTTCTTATATTTGGCTTAGTTCATTATGTAAATATATGTTTGAGGGCCCAGTGTCAGAAACAGCCATTGCTGAAGCTATGCATCATTTTAAAGAAGACATGCTACTTGCTAGGAAACAGACTTTTGCATGTTTGTTTGTTAGAAGAGCTACTGAGGATAGAGGAGTCTGCATGGGAGGAAAAGGAGGAGAAGGTATGCTTGGCTTGCTGGCACCCACAAGTTCCTTTTCAGATATCCCTCTCTCCACAGGCATTATATAGGGAGCATCAGGCGTATCCTGAGACAGTAGGCAAACTCAGGTTGAATGGTCCCTAGTCTCTTTCTGGAAGTAGTTTAAGGTGACTTGTCTGTTTTTACATAATCAACCTAGTGCCTTGGCTAAACCACCGTTTAGGAAATGAGAATTTAACCCAAGGGACTGGTCATAAAGTTCCAATCACACTTATGGAGACATAAAAATGATCATGGATTTGTGACTGCAGGGCTCCTGTACATCATATATTTGAACTTCACATTACATGATGAGAGCAGCTTGATTTATATTTCAGTGTTTAAGGCCATATCACACTTTCCAATAGCAATCCCTGATTACTGGGGTTTAGGACTTGGCTGTACATTTTTCCTCCCTGGGCTCAAGCATGGAAACCTGCCTAGAAAATATTTTTATTTTATTTTCTCCCCTTTCCTGACTGTCTTTTTGGCTCCCCATAATCTGGGATGTTGATGGCCCCGTGGGTTTGCCACAGCCAAAAGCCACACAGTGAGGGCCTTCAGGATGGGGATCAATCTAGGGCAATAATTGAATTATAAAATCAGGCAGGGAGGCCTGGGAACCAAATATGTAGTTTATCCTAGCTGAGTCCTGCAGTGGGAGGTTTGGTTTCAACCCCTTTGTGGTCTCAAGCCTCTTGCTGTGGCTGTGACCCATGAGGCCTACCAACACCTTGTGCTGGCACCCTTCTCTTGAGCCATAAAGCAATCCTGATGGAGGTGGGGAAATATAGCCTCTACTGGCACCTCAGGCTGGAGGCCATGTGCCTGTTCCTCCAGTCCTACCCACAGAGGATGCTGAAGGTGCAGAATGTCTGGGGGATTCTAGCTGGGTGTCTGCCATTTGAGCTGTGGCAACTGGGAGAGTTATAACAGGGTAGATAAGGTGTCAGCACATTGTCTCTTCCATTGTAACTGCCCATGTAGCTGCCATTACCTCATGGAAACTAAGTGATAATTTTAAAAAAAACTTTCTTCCTCCATAAAAGAGGGGATCACACAACTCAAACTTTTGGCAAGGTAGGAGCACAGGGAGCTGTTGACAGGTTTCAAGTTCACATCCTGGTTTCTCTCAGAGATAGTTGTTCCTGTGCTCAGGTTAGCAAGCTCTCTCTTACAGTTACAACCATACAACTACTATTTGCTGTATGGTTGTAGATCCCCTAGAGCTCACTGCTGTTCACTGACCCTTCATCCGGCAGGATTGTCTCCATGCTGATCCCTGTGACCAGCCGCACCCGTGTCAAGCGTAGTGGCATCAGTCCCTTGCACCTAGCGGCCGAACGCAACAATGATGACATCTTGGAAGAGCTGATTGATGCTGGCTATGATGTCAACACTGCCCTCTCCAACGAACGGTCCTGCCTTTATGAGGACAGACGAAGCACTCCTCTCTATTTTGCTGTTTTTAACAATAACATCTATGCCACCGAGCTCCTGCTGCAAGCTGGAGCCAACCCCAATGTTGACCTCATCAACCCATTACTCATCTCCATCCGCCATGGCTGCCTGAAGACCATGAAACTGCTCCTTGACCATGGAGCAAACATTGATGCCTATATATCAAGCCATCCCACTGCATTTCCGGCTACCATCATGTTTTCGATGAAGTACCTTTCCGTGCTGAAGTATCTTCTGGATCTGGGCTGTGATGCAAGTTCCTGTTTTGAGTGTCAGTATGGAAATGGCCCACACCCCGCATTAGATTACAGACGGGACAGACTTAATGATCCTCAGCTGTCCAAAGAGCCAAACATAGTACAGGTAAGCACGGCCTAATCTACCTACGGTACTTCTGAGGATGTCTCCCACCTATGTATCCTGACAATTTTAATGTATTCTCCCAACTTTTCTGTGAAAGAAGATACCTTTATTCCTACTTCATTTACAGAAAAAAAGGCTTAGTAAGTCTGTGAATGTGCTAAATCCATGTTCAGCGACAGCAAGTTGGTAGGCAACAGCTGCTGTGGCCCTAGCTTGAATTTGCAGTGAATTATAGTCACCTTGACAGCCTTGCTGTCAGATCTACAATGTTCTTTTCCTCTGGACCTGAGGTGCCAGGAGTGAAGTATGTTTTCTTGACAGGCAGTGTCATATGGGCGGTAGAGTATGGGCAGTAGAAACCTGCTTGTTTTATTTGCCCTGTAAGATTTGTTTTGTCTGATGGAATTTAAGCTCCTGGCTAAATTAAAATTGTTTAGTGCTTTGCTTCATGAGGGTAAACTAGTGAATGTAAATAATTGCAATTTCCAAGTCTACTGGATAAGCAGCCCTGGAGAGAGGAGTAAATTTTACGTTAGCTATATGACTGTGCATTATATTTGACGTTTTCAAAAGAGATTAGGAGATTTAGATCCATGATTCCATCTTTTCAGAGCCATTTACAGATTTTAGATATCCATGTTTTACATGTGTATCTTTGGAGTCCTTTCCAAAGTGCAGCTGGGCTCAGCTTCCACTGGGCTGTAATAGCACTCTCAGTTCCTTAAGGACTTTGCAACAGCTCAGATTACACTTTTTTTTTTTTTTATGATCTCTGTATGTTGACTTCTTCCAATATATCTCAAATACAATCTGACTCTCCAATCAAATTTTACTACCCTTCAACATCTGACACAACAAAGAAATCTCAGCATGGAAGTCCTTCTATTTTGCAAAGAATCAGAGAAGAAATAAATCAGCTTCTATCTAAGTGTAGCTTTGAGGGATTGAGAAGAAAGTGTCTTTTAGCCCAAAGAGATGGTCACCAATAAATGTTTCTTGGTAGTGGAAAGAATAGAGGAAAACATTAAAAAATCCTATGAAATTTTGACCTTTTTATCAGTCCTGTCTTCCAAAAGACTTTTCAGTAACACGTATGGGGAAAAAAACAAACAAAAAGAAATCTTAGAAAGAGGATTGTAAGAGTCCATCAAAATAATATTTTATCCCAAACAGAGCTAACTTATCCTTGAGAGTGTTTGTCACAGCAAAATTTATCCAGGATACCATATTTTTGTCAAAGAAAAATTGATAAAATATTTAATCTCTAGCTCTTGAACCGTGATATGATAGCATGTAGAGTGAACAGAGGGCTGGAATTTCAAGGCAAGGAGAGATTGTTTGTCTGTAGCCCTCTATGGTATCCTAGCCACTCAAAACCAGTTCTGTTTTTACTTCTTTAATCACATTATTTCCCTCTGTATCTCACTGAAAACTACTTCTAGTGCCTAACAAAATATTAGGTCACACTAATACTATATTATGGTATTATAACACTAATATTATAATAATAAAATATTAGGTCACTCAGAGTCATCATTTCAAAGTTCAGACCATGTGAGGCAGAGGTAGCAAAAGCTGTATAAAATTCTATCTGTGCCTAGAGAGAGACCAGTGAGGGACAGATGCATACAGAGAAAAAGTAATCCTTTCCTTCCAATATTATTTTAAATTTGCTTCTTAATGCTAGGAATTTGGCTAATAAAGTAAGGTTTGTGCAGTGTAGCTTCATGATATAATTGTGATATGATTTGTATTCTGAAATATAGAGGATCTTATGAAACTGTAGTCTTCTCCACACAAAAGATGTTCATTTTTTATTTTCTTGTATAAGCTTACGTAAGGATAATAAATCCAAATGATTAGTCTTTATACAGTAAAGGTTATGAGTTACTGGAATTAGATTTGAAAAATGCATAACTATAAATCATTAGTGTTGCTATCAAATTAATGTGTCCTGGAGAAAGTGAATGCAGAAAAATGGTTGCTGTCTCACTCCACATTTCCAGAATTGCAGTGTCTAAACTGTGACTGTGGGGAGTGAACTATCCTACTGCCGCGAGAGGGCATTCAGGGGCCTACTGAGACTGCAGGCAATCCCATTGCCTCTAGCTGCAGGTTTGCATTATTTTGCTTCGTTTTGCTGTGCTTTTCTTGCAACATGTTTTGGAACATTTTTATTCCAAAAAATGTTTTTTGTAGACTGAACGTGTGAATAGGGAAGAGAGGTAAGGTCCCTGGCGAAGACAAGAATAGGAGAGCAGTAAGATCCCATGTTTTATTGCCCTGTACATGTGTCCTCATTTAAACTGTGACAAAGTGGAGTTTCTGCTTGGAGGTGATAGTGCAGATCCCCAGTTTGCACGTCCTAGAGGTAACTGCATGGCAATGGCATATGACAGCCAGATGTACTAAACTGAACTTCCTATAAGCGGCCCAGGTAGGAAACCGTGGGGTGTCTGCTGGGATCCTCCCAGCATTACTGAACGTAATTTTCCTGGAAAACACTACTCAGTGAAAAAAAGAAGCCAGAAGAGTAGTAAACACCTCTGTGAATGCTCTCACCTTGAATAAATTTGCCTTACAATTTTATGCAGCTTTATTCTTTCCCAGGTGAGCTAATATGATTTTATTTCTGCCTAAGAGCAGCCACACAAAACTTTAATACATTTTAAGTTAGAGTTCATGCACACATAATCAAATTTGATCTAGTTACAGGAGCTCAAACTGAAAGAGGTTTAAGCTGGTGCATTTTCTTTCCTGTTTGGGGTGGGCTTGGAGGGTGCTTTCAGACAGTCTCAGTGACTAAACTGATGGATGGTGCTTAAGCCACCATCACTCAATTGGGATTGGCCACATGCCTAAATTCTTATCCATGCAGCATGATTTAATTCATGTTAAACTTTCTGACTGCTCACATGCAGATAACTCCACAGATAACTTCATCATACACAGCACCCTATCAGAGATAGATGAAGCTGTCTGGTATAATATACATATATTGATTAAAGTGGGAAGAGAAGTCACTTCTTCTCTGAAATGAGACTGCTTAAAGTCAGGTCCTTAAGTCTGTTCTTCAGTATCTCCATAAGCAGCCCTCCATGCAATGGCTCTGAGTACTCTGCAGCTTGCACTGGGGCAACAGAAAATTTGCCTGATCCATGACTAAGGAAGATGCTTCTGCATTAGGCCCAGGATAGTTCTCCTATAAGCAAGTAGAACTGCTGGGGATTCATCTGTGCAGAGATTTCCCCACAGACTTGTAATTAGTAAGGTGTTTGGTCCCCAAAAGCTGCAAATATTGGCTCCACAAGAAGTAGGAGCTGTGCTCTGTCAAACCTCCCTCTTTCCCTAAGTCTCCTTTGTGCACAGTTGCCCCACAGAGCCCCTCCCAAGAAGGGAAGGGGACCCAGCACGCTGAGTCAGTGCCCTGGGCTGCATGGACCTTTCAGTAGCTCCCTCACTGGCTTGGGGCAAAGCTCCTCTGTCCTCCTATTTCTGTGGAAATAGGACATTTGGACCCTGTAAAAAATTTATTATCCTTTCCATGATTCAGAGCTAGGACCTCACTAGGGGTTTGTGTCCTCCTGTGATTGTAAAGAGAGGATTCTACCTTCAGTTGAAAAAAACAAAAAAAAAGAAGCTTTAGTTGAAGTTTTCTGAATGGAAACTAGTAATTGCTCTCACAGCTCGTAGAAGGGTGGGACCACCAAAGCCATTGGGGCTGTTGCTATCACTGCAGTTTCCACAGGTGCATTCATCTTCCACTGACTGTACTCAATCTGTTTTTCCTTGAAGTTTTGTGAAATGGTGTCTACTCCAGAGATAAGTCGCTGGGCCGGGCCTATCATTGATGTTCTCCTGGATTATGTGGGTAACGTGCAGCTCTGTTCACGGCTCAAGGAGCATATTGACAGCTATGAGGACTGGGCTGTCATTAAAGAAAAAGCAGGTATGGTCACCCAGGAGAGAATCTGGCACAAATATTCCAGCTGTTGGATTCAAAACCTCAGTCACCATCTCCTCTTTGTATTCATCCCTTAAACTTGATAGGATTTTCTTACTGAGACTGAATTTCATTTTGGACCAGGTATGAGGCATTAGAAATTGATGAGGTGTCACTCACTGTGTGATGCTAAATGTATGCCAGCTGCAGATCTGACCAACTGGGAATGAGCATTGCCAGTGCAGGAAGGCCGATTTGACTGCACCTGGGGTACAGTCAGATCAGGGCAGGCGGGCAGTGAGACCATCTCCACAGCAGCCCAGCAGGCACCAGTGGCCTTTAAAGCCTTTACTAATATTCTGCTTTCCTAAATATCCTTTCTCTCAGGATCCAAAGTCTTTCATAGACATCAGAATTACTTTTCTGGCACCAAGCTAAATTTGGTACATATTACATTTATTTTTAGTGGGAAGGCAGAGTAGTGTAAGGGAGCTTGTTTAAATCCTCCTAGAAAGCCCATTGCTAGAGGCTGAGATGGGATACAGCACCCCATTCTCCAGCCCCACTTCATTTCCTATGTCATGCCTCAGAGTAGATGATCTGCCACCAATGCCAGATGCATCATCTTTTCATTACAGAAAAGCCCCCTTTTTTTTTTTTATTCCTCCTTCTCCCATTTCTCTTGACACTAACCTGGCCAAGCTGAGCTGTCCCTCCCAAGTTTAAACCTGTTCTGCTCATGTTTCTGACCTGCCTGTCTTTCAGAGCCCCCACGACCTCTTTCCCATCTTTGCCGCATCAAGGTACGAAGCCTGGTTGGAAGAAACCGCATTAAACTTCTTGACACCTTGCCTCTCCCAGACAGACTGATTCGATACTTACAGCATGATTACACACAGTGACCCCCGGCACACCAGACACACAGTGGCTTCCCAGCATGGCATCAGCATGGCGAGGGCACACATTGTGCGTGGTGGGGGAGGACTTGCTGCTGGCTTGGTCAAGAGCCCTCCAATGACTAATCTAAGAGAAATATGCTTCTGAAGCATGAATGAGAAGAAAATGGATTAGACAGCGAGCTAAACATGGGACAACTGTTAGGTTTTCCAAGAGAAAACATGTATGATTCACCTCAATGCTTGGTCTGCAAAGAACAAGAAATGAAAACCAACACTGAAAAATGAGTACTGCTGAAGCAAGTATCAGTGAGGAATTCAAAGGTATATCGGGGTTGTGGTGGAGCTTAGCATCCTTGCTGCGATCACAATTCAGAAATTGTCAAGAGTCAACATATTTGGGAAAACAAACATTTCCCTCATTGACTGAGATTTTTATTTTACCTTCTATCTACCATTTGGATTTCTGCTAAGTGTGCTGGTTGCTTATTCTCTGATACTTTGACACCATCTTGCTAACACTTTTACTTTCATTTTTTGGACCTTTCTTATTGATTACTTGATTTATGAACATTCAAATCTCAGAACTTTTTAATAGACTAAAGTCCAGAAATGCTGATTTCTTTAAAAATCAAGGAAAGGTTTATATAAGAGGGATGTAAGAATTGTATTTGCACATAGAGAATACAGTTCATTTCATATTACATTTGTAATGAGAAGTAGGGGAAATCCTGCATGAGATAGTTTCCTAGACTGGGGATTTGAAAGCGACTCGGAGCTTTTTTTTTTTTTTTCCTTCCTAGAAATTAGAAGTATAGCTGCACTGTAAACAGTAGCTTTACTCTGTCATGAAGCTGGTGTCAGAGCAGAACAAAGCTGTAGAGGAGCAGAAACAAAGTGTTGTGAAGGAGAGAGGCAAGGTATGCAGAGAGAGGAAACACTGCTAAACCAACTTTATCTGTTCCTCCCCTAGAAGATATTGTCCCTACAAAACCCAGGCTCTCTTATCTCCTTGGACTTCTGGGGCTATAACAATACCATCACTGGAAGAAAGAGATATTATTTCAAAATTATGAAATTTAGACTTTGAGATTTATGAAAACAACTACCCAGAATTAGGCTTCCAAATCCTTATTCAGGTGCCTAAACAATGCCAAGTTGCTTGCATCAGGTGTAATTCCACTTAAGCCAATAGGACCACATTTGGTGTCAGATATTACCGAGGCAGAATAAAAATCTTAAGATTTAGCCCTGAATTTCCTGACTTTGGAAGTTTGAAGTATCTATTAGCTCCCTTTGACACTGATGAAAGTTAATATCTCAGCTTCTTTGAAAATTAGGTCACCTATTTACAGCTCAGATCCACAACTGATTTATGGCAGCTTAACAAGTTACCATCTATCAGCTGAACCACTATAATTGTCCGTGAAATTCTTTTATTGAAGTTTTTAACAAGTCACATTCCCTCACAGCTGGGGAGGCCAAGGAACCCATGAACAGTTATTGGCAGTGACTACAGCACAGTTGACAGGTGTGACTTACTGAACTGATTTGATGAGTGCCTCATTCCTGACTAGGCACCTCAGTAAGGATGGAAGAGTCTAAATTTCCAACTATGTCTTTGTAGATCTTATGCTAGAAGCACACTCATTCTTACCTTAGGTGACAAAGGAGCTGTGCACCATGGTTTGTTTGGGTTCCCCACCAGAGACATGACAGATCTGGTTTTGTTTGTGGGCCTGCATACCATCCATGGAATCAGATAGAAATGTAAAAGTAGGGAATATGCATTGCAATGAGTTTTATTTGTGTGGAGTTTTATACCTTAAAACAGAACTAAAAGCATGTTGCACACATACAAGTCTGTCTGGGCACACAAGTTCAGGTTCTGTGATGGTTCTGTGTGTAATGTGTTCAGCACTTGCAGGACAAGATGTAAGCAGAGGAATTGGTTACAGCTATGGACAGAGTGTCCATAGCTGTCCCCTTCCCAAATGCAAAAGAAGTTGAAAAACCAATGCTTTCAATTGCAAAGCTTTGGAAAGTCCAATGAGATTCCTCCACTGCTGAAGTTTCCTCCAGTGACTTCCATTACTACCAGATTAAGATCTACCCCCCACCTCCACCCCTTGTCTCCTGAGGTGTGAACAAGAAATTTCTTCAGGTTGGAAAAATACTGTGTGGAGGGAAAGGAATGGGGAACAGGAAATCTTTAGACCACTTTTGCCATTGAAGTCCCTGTATTGCTAAGCAATATCTTGAGAGATAGAAAATCACCTGTGGAGTTCATGCATCTCTCATTTTATGGGGCTGAGCAGTAAAGTTCTGGGCCCTTCTCATATTGATATAAATCAGAAAAAAAAAAAAATCCTTGAAATGAAATGACTGTATCAGAGCAGTTGTAGGGGGTGATGGATACAGACATAGCTTGGTAGAGATCATTTGTTTAAGTGCTTGTCTGGTGTGCAATGACAGCCCTGAAGACCAGCGGCTGATAGAAGGATTCATAATCACCAACTGTATGTGTAACCACAGGGGTAGGATTTGATAAGCGATCCCAAACTAGGAATTCTCCCTGAGAACATAAAAGTCTCACGAACTACAGTTTCTTTTTATGTCACTGGAGAAATTGAAACTGGGTTTGAGTGGAGCAAATATGGAAAGTCCATTTCTTCTTTCAACCAAGACACCTTCATCTCTGTTGAGACACCCATGTCCTGGTTGCTCTTGAGCAGGAGAGTCACTGAGCTAGAGAGCACTGCTCTGATGGGAACGTATCACAACTGTGGGAATGGTAAGGGCACACTGCACAGAAACTGATGAGAGAAGAGCCTATTAGAGGGGAAATCTGATAATTACGATGTTATTAAGTCCTTTCTGCTTGATTCTTACAGCAAATCTTCACACACTCAGTTTACATTTACTTGCACTGAAATGGAGCCCGCTACCTCTCCACTCCAGTCATTGACACAAGTATTTTGTGCACGGTACTTAATCTGCGCAAATTCAATGTGATTTTATCTTCTATCTATCTAGAAGTTACTATGAAGAGACAAATACGCCAGAACCCAAACAAACCAGGCTTGTAAGCAGATCAGTAGTTCTAGTGCAAGGTGAAGTGCCTTGTTTTTACTGAGTGTGGTACATATACTCCTTCAGAGATGATGACTTTATGTGAAATGTTCCAGGAATATTTCATGACCAGTTACTGTACTTTTTTTTACTGCAACATGTGCAATTCACTTGTTCTTGTGCACTTTTTTGATTTTTTTATTTCATTTTGTATGAAAGCTTTTTCACTTACCTCTCCCTTCCCATTATTTATAAAAGCTATTTTGGTTTTAAGAGTTTAAATTTGCATTGTTGTAGTAAATAGCAGCTCTCGAATGTTATGTTTCCATCTTTCAAACAAGGTATGAATAAACAAGTAGATTCTGAAGGACTATCAGTTGTCCTGAATAGCAACATTGAACAACCAAACACAAAAATTGCCAGGAAAAGTCTGAATCCAAGTTTGATTAATAATTTAGATTAACTCAGGGGTGAGAGAAGAGTAAGTATTGTTAGAGATGAGACAAAGTTCCTATTCTTTGCAAACCTTTTGGAAAGTCTCACACATCCCCATTCAGTGATTTTGAATATATTTCACAACTGTCTTCTCTTCATTTGTGTTTTACCTCGCTACTGCTCTAGTTCAGAGCTGCAGCAAGGGCCACTGCCTGCCCTGGGCTGCAGAGGGAAGTATGTCACAAAGGATTTTAAAAAGTAACATCAGTTTAAATCTGAGGGTAAGTGCATAAATATCTGTGTGTCAGAGGTCATTTGGAACAGTCTGGTTCAATCCTTCATCCTAACTTAAAAGCATGCTATTCTACTACATGGAAAATACACAGCAACATACATTAAAATAAGAAACAGTTTAAAATTAGAAAACCAAGAATTTAATATCCAGAAGGTAGGCACTTGATTTTAACTCTCTTCCTTCTCTGAATTTCTTCAGAAATCTCTACAGAGGCTATCCACTTTGCTAAGTATTTTAATTATGCTAGAAATCCATATTCTGGTGCAGTATCTATCTAGCACTTTCAAATTTCCCTTCTGAACTCTAGCAGGAACCGTTGTCCACAGCAGTCACTGTGGTTCATTCCACGACCTGCTCTGGTCACCCAGATGGAAATCCAGGCCAGTGCCAAGGAGGCTGCTCTGCATTGACAGCACTGAGACAGAGTTCAGCATCTGGCTTCATCTGGATTACAACAGTGACACAGAGCTATAGGTGTGAGAAAGGGCCCCTATTTCCATGTAAAAAGTTCCTTGCCTACAGCTCTGCAAATTAAGAGGCATAGTTCTCCTCCCATTAACTTCAATGGGGATGCTGCCTCTGGTTTTGATTAGTCTCCCTTGTGGAGAGATACAGAGTCTCCTCATGGATTTTTTTGACAAAAAGACAAAAAGAGAAAGACATCTAAGTATATCCACATCTTCACTTCTGAATCAAGAGCTAACTTGATGTCTTTAACCCTTAGATCAACTCTTTACGACCTTGCACCTTGCATATAGTTGCAGATATGTGCTACCAAAGACATTTCCTACTCTCTCTCCTATAGGACTAGTTTATGGAGGCTTGGTACATATATTAAGTGCTGGTAGCAGGGAGAAAGTAATGAAATCCATCTCCATTTTTACTTTTGGCCTGTTGGACTAACACCTTACAGACATTGTTCCTGTAAAAATAAACATTGGTGGGATATACTGTGAGGTTTGGGGAAAGGATGATTTACTTTTAGCCTAAGAGTAAGTTCATGTCCTAATGAAAGTTGCAACCTGGTTATATAACACCAAGCCCCATCAGAAGATCCAAAATGACACTCTACAGTTGCTTAAGATCATAATTTTTTCATGACTGCAATACACTTGAAAAAAGTGTCATAGGGAGTTACACTAGCCAGAGCCCAAGCTGATTGAGCACACTTTTGATTGAATCCTGGGAGAAATTCCCATTAGCTTCAGCGAGAGCAGGTTAAGGGAGATCACAGGCATCCATTCTCTGGCCCTTCCCCCCCCCCATAATGCACTTCTCTTGACCTCAGTGATTCACTCCAGTATAACTGGATAGGTACATAGGCCTGCAATATTAAACCTTTCAGATCTCATGTGCTGTGCCTTAGCACCACTTTCTGCATGGGTTTAAGAGAAATCTAACTTAAAAAAAAAATCCTGTGTTAACTTTTCTAATGGCAATTTGTTAAAATAATTGGGAAAATACCAGGCAAATCATTTGCAGCCGGGCCTTGTGATAGCATTTTAAAATCAGACAAAGTAAAAGTTGTCTGGGAGCCAGAAATCAAGGCAGGCTATTCTATATGCTTTTTTTCTTCTACCATATTTTATGGTTTTGCATTCAACTAATACAATTTCTCATTTGTTCTGTTGATGCCGAACAATTCCTGACATGGAAATTCATCTGCTTCCATTTGCACCAGCTTAACACTAGTTAATTTTCCAGCCTCAGAAGAATTACTTTTGATTTACATGAGTCTGAATAGGCAAAGATTTCAGACCTCATATCTACCCAAGAGTTGCAAGTCAAACCTGTGTCTACGCAGTAGGGCAAAAATAAACAGACTGCATTGACAGAATCACCAAAATAAAATTACCTCCTTTCTTCCCTTATTTTTTTTCTTTTAATTATCTCAGTATTTACATACAAGAAGAGCTTAAATCAATTCACAAGCGTGGTTTCTACATTAAATACTGTCCTTCCAGTCTCTTGCACGCAAAAGGAAGTGACCTGAATATCTTGACTTCTCTGGAATTAAAGTACAAAAACTCTTTGAATGGGTTTAATTCATTTCATTTCACTGCTGCTGCCGCAGGGCAACCCCGGAAAGATGTTCCCACACGGCGGAGGTCTCCTAGGTGTTACGAGTGCGGCTATGAATGGCCCGCAGCCCCGCTCGCCGTCGTTCAGACAATGCCCATCAATGAAAGAGCCCTGGTTTGCCTCATGCTCCATGCCACCGGCTTCGTAAGGTTTATTCCCTACTTACACCCATGTACTGAGAGTGGAGCCCGAGTAGCTTCCCAACAGTTACTAATTCACTCCAGCCTGCCCACGGGGAAGAGGATGCAATAGTTGTTCTCCTTCCCCCTGCAGCTCCACGCTGCCAGCAGCTCATGCATGGTGCCTGACCGGGCGTTTTGATTCACTGTCAGGAGCTCTCATGTTCAGCGTGACTCTGACACCCCCCCAGCTAAAGATAGCCAAAAACGTTGAAGATTGGTGGGGGGACAGCGGGCTTGGTGGGGATGGGTTTCAAAACCACGGGCCTGTAGAGTTTCTGCCCTGTGACGTCGGCCTCCTTGCAGAAGTGTGGCATCTCTGCTGGCAGCGTGGCCACACTCTTCCTCCACAGCCCCAGCCCTGGGAAGGGCGACGGGGGCAGTGCACCCGGGGGCTGGTACACCCCCGGCCCAGGGCAGGAGAAGGGGCAGCAGGTCCAGGCACCCACCCGACCTGAGAGGACCCCAGCAGGGTCCTTCTCCCCGGCATGCGGGGCAGGCTCAGGGGGGCTCTCTGGGGCAGCAGCATCTGGGCTCCTTCTGCTTTTCTTCCCCTCATAGGGAGGAGGGTCTCTGGGGGCCGGGAGCCCCTCAGGAAAGGCCCTGGCTGGCAGGCTCTGGGTTGGCCGTGGCTCTTCCCAGAAGGAGGCGGGGAGCTGTCGCTTCCTCATGGGCACCTGGTCTGGCCTGGCAGCCTCAGGGTTTTGCTCCTGCAGAACCGTTTCCCCAGCCAGGCTCTCCTCTGCCTCCACTGCCTGCAGCACCTTCTCAGAAGCAGCCCCGCCGTGGGGGCTGGGGTCGGGTGCCTCGGGCTGGGGGCCACGGCCACGGTCCTCTGTCACCCTGCGCCAGCCGCACTCAGAGGGTTTGCTGGGGTGGCACCGTGGGATCCGTGAGTACTTCTGAGAAAACCGCTTCAGCTGCTTCTGCAAGTATTTTCTGTGGTCAACCGACCGGCGACAAGGAGCTGATTTATCCAGAGCCGCTTTGATGTCGCTGGAGGCCAGGTTGACAAAGTTCAGTAGAGTTTTTACCTCGCTGTCTGATGCCATCTCACTGGATGCACCGTGTAGAGTTTCCCATGAAAAGTTTATAATCCACCTTCGGACAAACCTTGACAAACCTGTGAAACATGATGGCCACACTTAAGAGCAGGAAGCCTCAGTTCAAATAGCACCAAGCAAATGGAGGGAGGGTGGGGGACATGTCAAACTTCTCAGCCACACAGACAAGTTGTCCATCATCTCACCTCCATGCCGGCAAACTCCCGACAGAGCCGCCGTGCACCCGCAGCCCACCACCCCACACCGCTGCCCCAGCACATACCAGTATGGGGACTGGCTCACGAATGCTGGCCAGCCCGACACCTAATCTGGTTAGATAGCGCTTAGTGGAAAGAAGCTGGGATGGCTGCTGCCATCTCCCCGTAAGCAAGTGTGGACACTCACCCGGCGTGTGGTGGCTTTTCTGCCGGTGCCGGTGGCTGCGGCGTTGCTGTGAAGAGCCCCTTCCCCGCTAATCTCGTTAGGCAGGTTACACACCGCCAACCTCGGCGGAGGCAGCCAGGGCCCGCCAGTATTTGGACGCAGTTTAGCAAGCACTTGAGCAAGCTGAATGAATATCGACTCCGGCGAGTTCGGGGCTCTCCCAGGCCAATCAGAAGCCACTTTGCCAAATACAAAGCATCCCAATCAGGCATCAGCCTCCCCTCCTTGCATTCTTTGCCATCACAAATTGTCACCATGGGGACAGCCACAGAAAGACAGCTAATAAATACAATCATTTCCCAGCGATTTCTACCATTCTCCCTATCCTCTTCACCCTACTGAGGCCTTTCTTTTTAAAAATGACACAATCTGAAGTGAAAATGCTGAGGATGAGTTTGGAAAGTTTAGGCACCCTTTTCTCTGCACTTCCCGAAGCTCTCTGGGGGCTGATACTAACTATGCTTCATTGGCACAGAACAATGTAATACGGGGGGACCAGGCTAGCCTACTTTTAACCATTCCCCATCAGAGCCCCCCCCCCCCTTTTTTTTTTTTTTTTGAAGGGGAGGATGATGTCAGAAAAAGGTAGGAAAGGAACAAATCTCTAAAGAGATGTGCAGATATCCATGGAAAGGGAGCTTGAGCGCTCAAGAATCTTGTCTTTATGTTTGCCCCCTCAATTGAGTTACACAAAAGCTGAATTACCCATTCAAACTACCCGGACAAAAGGATGGAGTTGGATAGTACTCTTGCATCTGTAGTCAAACAGTTAGAGACTTAAATCGAGTCGTCATGATGGAGAAAGAGTTAGACAAAGCCCATAGAATTGCCATCAGCAAACATTTTCCTGTGTCATATTAGTGGGTCTCCATGACTCCCCCTGGCCTGGGGACAATAGCACAAGTTTGCACACTCGACTACTGTCACCCTGCCAACGCTGGCAAGGAGCAGAAACAGGACAATCCTTTAAGGGGAAAGCATGCCCGCTGCAGGGAAGGTAAGAAGAGAGGGAAGAAAAGGCGTGTGAAATGCTAATTGAGCTGCTTCCTTTACTGATCCAGAGTTATGTGAGCCCTCCGCCTTCTCGCAGGCTTGTCCCTAAGGGGTGGCAATAACTTAATAGCACTGTAAAATGGAGACCTGGAGGAAAAGGGGAGAAGAAGGGCTGCCCTCAGTGTGCACTGGACACACCAAGGACACAAAGCTGGCAGCAGCCTGTGTGCCAGCCCAGGACCTGCTGTCTCCCATGGCAGGAGCAGCACTACTCCTGCTCTCCAGCCCACAGCACCCTGGGAATGGGAAGTAGAGAGGGGCACAGGATGCTTGCACCCACCACGGGGAGATGCTGCCAGCTTTAGACCAAACGCATGCCCTAGAGAAAGCAGGGACCAAAGTCCAAGCCATTTTGCAAGTAAAATCTACCTTACAGATGTGAGGCATCAAAGGCCCGAGCCCTGAGGATTGAAAACAGCTAAATTTTAAGGTTATTTACTGTATTTGTATTATTCCAATTTTCCTCAGAGGAAGACAAGATCCAGACTGTGTCCTTATACCAAACTCTGGGCAGAGGTCTCAGGGGTGACTCTTTAGTGTCCCTGTACTGGTGCACCCAGTACTGCCATCCCTATTCACATCATTTCTTCCAGTCTGGTCTGAGCCACATGTGCTGGTGCCCAGACTCAGGTGTTTCAGGTCTAGGGAAACCCCAGGGCCAGGACATCCTGCAATAGAATGTGCTGCAGAGCCTTTGTCACCATAGTGGACTGTAATGCGGTGCCTGATATGCCACCGCAGACATGCCTCTCTCCTCCTAGTTTCTAGTTCAGAAGCAGTTCATTCCCTAGGAGACCTGGGCAGCTAGCCCTGTCTGCACCCTCTATCATCCGCCTCATGCCAGCATACAAATGTTTGTGCAATCTTCTTTTGGATCATTTGAGGGAGACAATTTCCAGTTACCTGCTTCAGCATCTATTTTGGGATGTGCTAGCCAGGGCCTGACCTCTCTGTGACCTGACAGAGATCCCTCCATGCAGCTGGGGCTACAGGGAGAGGTTTTGTCTAACTCATTGAAAGAGGTGCACACCAAGGGATCACATATCTGTTTGCAGGAACAAATTCCCTCCTGTGCTTGAGCTCTTGAACCCAACCAGGACACCATGTTGCACAGCACAATCTCCCAGTAGAGCTAGTTGGTTTCCCAAGGGGCTGAGAGGGAGAGACAGAGAAACATGGGGCAGGTGCCTGGGAACAAAAGGATTGTCTGAGGATGTTAATGAACTGTTGTCTGAGGATGTTAATGAACTGTGTCTTCAGAGGGCTGGAAAACTCATGCTGTGTATTCTGAGATCCTATATGCAATCATAGGACTCAAGACCCCTGTGCTGTGCTGAAACTGAATGCTAGTGGGTCAGTTATATTGAGAAGGGTGGGTATGGCTTACCTGCTTACCAGACGATAAGGGAAACCTGGCATTCCTTCAACACACCCATTGCAGAATCACTCTCCATGCCCCCAGAGCCCTCCTGGAAGGACGCTTGCTCAGGACATAGCTCCTTGGGCACCACATAGCAGTGGTGGAGGGGCTCCCCATGCCTTGATGTGCTCGCTGCTCCGGCATGCCGTTCCCCTGCAGCTGGGTAACGGTGGGGAGCTGGAGGGGAATGAACCGGCAAGCAGGATTTAAAAACCAGAGCAACCCACCCTTTCAAGGTCAGACTCAGGTTGAGCTGCACAGGGTTTTCTCTAAGAGGCCACCGGAGCCCTTTTGTTCCTCGCTGCTCTTGCCATGTTCATCCCAATGTACATGTGAAAGGAACAATTAACAATAGGGCACTCCTCTCCAAGGATCCAATGCACTTTGAAGTGTCCACCAACCAAAGGCTCAAGAATGATACATCATTTTCTACTGTGAACATGTCAAACTAGTACAGCAATTGAAAAAATGTCTCCACATGCCTTCCCAGCATGCAGACAGGGACCAGCTGGAGAGCCACTTCATATCCGACATGTTATCCTCTGACAGCTGTCTTCCTGGGAATTCTCGGTATTTGAAGTTTTCTAACTCCTTTCTTAAGTGAAGCACAAGAATAAATCCATTCATTTCAAAGTTGCAGCCAGGCATCTCCTAAACATACAGTATCCCCTACAAGACTGAATAAAGGAGAGAGAAAAAATTTTCTTACACAAAATACCTGGGAAGTTTTTTTAAAGTGTCACTCATTGTAAGTGATGTCAATCTTTAGTCACTTCTGCACCAAAACCTCCCACAGCTTATTTCCAGGCTGAGGGTCCCATTCAGCAAAGGTATTCCAGCATCAGGCTGGCCTGGACCGTGTGAGCAGACCCACTAACCCCAGTGCACACCATTAACTGGGGTAGATTCCTCCACCGCAAGTGCTCTGAGCAGTTCAAATGACATGAACACCCAAATCACTGCTGTTATTTTAATGGCCTGTAAAGAAAAGAGCAGACCAGTGAAGAGCTGAGTGATGAGACAGAAGAGCTGAGAGATGAGACAGAAGTCAGTTTTGACACTATTTTACTCAAAATTCTTTTTCCTCCTCTACAACAGAGCTCCTAGCCTGAGTAACAGGTGTTGTCACAGGGTTCACACTGCTGTCAGGATAACAACTCTGCGTCTCACATGGTACACTTCCTAGGCAGGCCTGGACTGAAATCAGCTCTCAGTGGCTTTTTGCCCTCCCTGATTTGGGTTATCTCTTTGTCCAAGGTACATGTCTGTACGGTAAGCACTGTTATCCTCATCTCTTCCCCATGGTTGTTAAAACTAGGCAATCTCCATTAATTAAAAAAACAAAACCAAAATCAAAAATAAAGCAAACACAAAACCTTTCTGATTTTTACTTGAAAATAAGACTTCTTAACAATTGTCAAAAGATTTTCTTTAGAAATTTTTTAGAAGTTTGAGGAGAGGAGAGGAGAGGAGAGGAGAGGAGAGGAGAGGAGAGGAAAAAACCAAATTTCCATTGGTTTGTGGAAAATTTCAACTATTTTTCCCCATTTGAGTCACAATCCTGTGAGTCCTTGCTGAGCCTAATGAATATGCACTTTGAAGCAAAGGGAAAATGGGGTTCCAACTGTTTTGAAACATAAGAAAATGAGCTGGAAAACTCCCAGATGGGCCACCTGTGAATCGTTCCTTTTCTTTGTCCATTAAGGGCAGATAAAAGAAAGATATTTCAGTTCCATGATATCTTTTCACTCACCTGCTATTTCCTAAGACTCTGCTCTGCCTTCGCATTCAGAAAAAGAGAGAGCAATGGTTTTGAGAAGAGCAGGAGCCTGAGGGGAGGTGACAATGGCTCATGGTGAAACCAGAAGTATTGGCCTGCAGAAGAGAAGTATTGGGTTGGAGGAAGACTACCTAAGCTCTTCTTCAGGGGTCCGGATTTTAGATTTCTGGTTGACAGTGACTGAAGTGGAAGGATGTTAATCATGTGCTGATGGCATAAAAATGGGTGATGCTATTTAACATACAGCAAAAACTGGGTGACCTTAGGAGTGAATGCAATGGTTGAGGAATGGATTGTAGTAACTCTGAGCCA